TTTGCAGTACACGCTAACTACTTGCTGAAAAACTGTTTGTTCTTTTGATAATTTCAGGAGGACTTCGACTCATTACGACCTCTTTGTTATCCATCTACCGACGTATTTATTGTTTGTTTTTCTGTAGTTTCGCCGACGTCTTTCGCAAATGTCGCACAAAAGTGGCTTCCTGAAATACGAGGTTATTCTTCTAGCGTTCCTGTTATTCTTGTTGGAACGCACTGTGACTTAAGAGCGAATGTTCAAGAGCTTATTCGGCTTTCTGATCTCGGACAAGAACCTATAACGGCACAGAAGGCCGAGAGCTTAGTGAAGAAAGCTGGTATTGTATGTTATATTGAAACATCGGCAGTGACTCAAAAAAACATGAAATCCGTCTTCGATGAAGCAATTATGAGCGGATTAAGACCACCTACGTCTTCTAAAAGATCTGACCTCAAAGGCTGCGCGTGTACTATCATGTGATAAGCTTTTGATGTGATTATTTAATTATCAAGTTTCTGGTTTGACGCAATTTTGCGATTCAGCGAGATGAAACGAATTGATCATTGCAGCCGTATGCAGCGCGTGCCTCAGCGGACAGGAATATGATAAAAGAGTTGTTATTTATAAAGTCCACCGGCGCTCCTCGTTGCACAGATGCGTTCAAAGCGGACCTCAAAGGGGACATAAAATTTGTCATTGGAATCTCCTGTGGTGCAGGAAGAAGGGAAACAAATGATATTATTTATAGAGAGCAATATTAAGACCATGAGTAGCTGGTTTAAAAGAATTTAGTATTTGCTGATTTTAAAATGCTAATATTTTTTAGTAACAATGGAATAAATAAATTTAAAAAAATTGAATGTGGCATGGTGGAATTGGCATTACTTGTAATGAGAGATATGATATAGAGGTTAAATGTAGTCAATAGTGTGAATGTTGCTAGATCGATTTACTCAAAGGATCTAGATTTGATTAAAATAACCATGACAAGAAGAGGGCTCACACTGTGCTGAGGCCAACAGGGTTGTCAAAAGTAGGCCGGCCATTCTACTGGGCTATTCATCTGATTCTTCAAAAAGATAGCAAAATTAGCCACCTACTCTAGCAATAAAGCTGCCTACTTCTGACAATACTTTGTGCCACCCTGGGCCAAAAATGAACTTTCTGAGTACATTAAACACTCTACATACCCCAAGAGAATTAACATCTCTTCTAAATTATTAAGTTCATCAAGTGGTCTGGGTTTGAGCCATGGCTACTAAGGCACACTGTGTTGTGTTCTTGCACAAGATAATTTACTCTCACAGTACCTCTCTCCACCCAGGTGTATAAATGGGTACCGGCAAACTTAATGCTAGGGGATAACCCAGAGATGGACCAACGTTCCATCCAGGGCCTAGGGGGGAGTGGAAATACTCCTTAAAGTCACCTCATGTGACAGAAACTAAAGATAAGTGCCAGTTGGATGGGTCATATGCAGACTTTGCCTTACCTAAATTAGGTTCTACTGCACCTGCCTTACATGTTTACAACTAATTTTGTATTCTATTTTTAAGTACATCAGCTGTTTTCAGGGCAATGTCAAAGGCTGGTTTTCACTAGTGTATAAGCATGACCAGCAGACAGCAGTTATAAGGTGCTGGGTTTTTTTTTTCTGTTTGAAATGTTCCTTACAAAAGGTGCTAATATTATTATCAACATTTTACTGCATCTGCATATATTGCTTATACTTATGCTTAATACACTTGTGAAAACTAGCTTTAACATGGGGGTTATTACATTTGTCATATTTCAGATTGTGTAGTTCCAAAAAATATCCATACCTCCCCCACTGAAGGGATTTTTTCCAAGACCTCCCACCCCTCTGGAAATTCCAATTAAACTTGATACATTTCTTTAAATTTTTTGTTCTTAGAAGAACCTCCCACCCCCCAGGAAATTCCAATCCCTTTTGTCGGGGGAGAATGGATATTTTCTGGCACTGCACATTTTAAACCACAATACTGTAAACCCGGGACTAAAAACTTGTGTAAAGAAATATATAACAAACTTGATCAGGCCTGGCCACGGATATCAATCCTATACACCTGCAGGCCCTGCTTGTTCATTTTATATCTAGTAAATTAATCATTAATTAAACTGTGATTAATTAAAATGCATTTCTATCATCCTCCAATTCCCCTTAACAACCAGGGCCTTTACAAGTAAATCTGTCCTGTGGATAGTATGGCTGATTTTGTTAACACTATAATTTTGGAATCGGTTCCAAATATTGGGGGGAGCGGGGAAAAAAAGTGTAAATTTCAAACATTTTTGCAAAGGGTGCAAAAAAGCACCTCAACTCATGAGGAAGGGAGGCCAAAAAACCAGGGCTGGGTTGTTCAAAAGCCAATTAATGGTAAACCTTGATAAAAAGTTCACCGAAGTATCATATTTTTTTCTTGCATAAAAATATTTTTTCACCTCTTATGTTTTGTGCAGTTTGAGATTATTCAAGCTCAAAACTGATGGACAAACATTATTTTGCCACTCCTTGAATTTGTTGCTCAGCTTATTTTCATGTTTATTGCTATTTAATATTTATTTATTTTATCTCTGTTTATTTCAGTTTATTTAAAAACCCTGTCGTCAGTCTTTCAGTTGAAAAGTGTTTTCCATAACACTGCTTGGAATGCCCCATTCTCAAACTTCTACAGTTAAGACAAATAGCTAGTTTTTATACTGCAACTACGGTCGCCAGGAAAATGAAAGAATTTAATTTTCACTTTACCTTCTGTATGTTAGTTGGGTATTTTTGTGTCTCTCTGTTGTTTATTTGTTTTTTGTTTTGCTTTTTTCTGCCATGGAATGTTTCTCATGGCCTGTTAGTGTCACTGATCGGATGCCATGTTTTCTCTTAATTGCCTTCGAATTTTGTTTGTTGGTTGGGTTGTTTTCGTTTGTTAGTTCCTAGAGCCAAATTTAAAACAATTATTTTAAAGCATTTTAGCTGGCATATTAGAAACTCCTTGAATCCACTATGTGTAAGACAGTTGTTCAGTAGGGAAGTGTTCACTGTTCAGGCTACACTGTCTTTTTTTCTTCTCTTTTTCTTTTCTTTTTTTTTTCTTTTTTTTTTTTTT